TGTATTTACATTTATATATATTGATATGAATACTACAATTTAATAAAAACAAATGCAAAACTGCGAAAATTGTGAATACTTTATAATAGTCGTTAACAATAGGTGAATTAAAATTGAAATCGAAATGGAAAATTTGAAAATAGTGTTGAGAATTCGATAATCGTTGTATACCTTGAGCACCTGTGGTCCATTTAAATAATTTTGATCGTACAAAAGAAAACAAACATTTAACATCCGTATAAAAGGCCATAAAGTGTTTTCAATTTAATAATTTTAATTGATGTCGATGTGTATATAGTATATGCAAATTAATATAGTAAAGGAGTATATATATATTATATAGAGACATATATGCTTTTAAGTCTGTGTTACAGATTTGAACAATCAAACTTACCAGCTCAGAAACAAGGGGAATTGATTTACGCCGTGGACGTATATCCGGCATACTGTCAATATTGCTGTAGAATGGATTATCCCCCGGATGCCCATTGGAGCGTAGGCCCACATCCCCTGTGCCGGTGCCATTCTATCAAATAAATATGTGAAGTATTGTTATTATAATTATTATTATTATTGTTATTATTATTACTATTATTATTATTACAATTAAATGACTATTATTTATTGGATATTTAAGACTGCAAAATCTAAGCTAATAGATAAGGTGAAATTCAAAAACATTCTTATAGCTAATCCCTATGAAATGTACACAATCTTATAAAAGTCCAGTAATGTATCTTTAACAGATTTAGGGCTCAATTTAGGCGTCATAAAACTCTCGAGGGTTAGAAGTTAGAATTATCAATTTTTAGAAGAGTCAAGACTACATACAGAAAGAATATTGCATTATTTATTTATACATATATAATTAAACTTATTTATTTATTTATATATATACACTTCCAAATTGTACCTTCTCCTTGTCTTTAGTCATTTCTTCTTCCTTCATTTTATCCAGATTGTTTCTCTCCTCGATTTTACGCTCCTTCAAAGTTTTTAACAATTTCCATTTGCTTGTGCCCAAGTTAATGCCAGCACTGTTTGGGGCAGCCACCTGAGACCCCTCGACACTTGAGTCAAAACTAATAAGCTTAAAAGGCGACGCATTGACAACTGTTGTCGAATCGGCGGCTGGCAAATTACTCTCCGGGGAGTTCGCTACATTCACAACGCTCTTATGTATGTCGATTAGCTCGGACCTCACTTCTGGAAACTCGGCGGATGCAGCTGCTTCTTTTTCTGCATTATCCTTCTGAACAATATCTGGATCGGTGTCTGGTTGCGCATAGGCAGCACCATTTTCATCTAAATTGTCATCCATTTCATCACTTTGAGCTGCTGGCGTATCCGGACCAGATGTAGCACTAGATGACTCAATTGGCTGATCATCGTCTAACTGAAGAGGAGAGGGTGGAGGGTATGATCTGTGCTTTTGCTTGTATTCGTACTCATGCTCATCGTCGCTTGATGAGTATGATGAACTTGATGCCGATTGCAACTCGTCCTGTCTTTGGCTAGTAGTTTTTGAAATGTCGCCTTTTCGCTGCATCTTTTTGTTGACTTGTGTGCTAACTTGTGTTTCTACTGATGCTGCTGTTCCTATTGCTATCTCTTGTGATTTGGAGCTGATAGGCAGCTGATATTCATTATTAACGTCCTGCCAAGCTCTATGCATATCTGAGACTTGAACTAACTTTTTTTGTTTCTGTTTCCCCAGTAATTCGGACTCATCTGGCTTCGGAGGACGACCATCTGTATCCGCCGGTTTCAGTTGAACAACGCATCTTAGCTCGTTCAAAACCTCAGACATCCTGAGCTTAACCGTCTCATCTGGGACGTAGTCACTTTCTGTACTTTCTGTACAACAAACGCTATCCCCCAACACCAACTGACCAATTTGCGTAAAGAGAACTTCATTGTCTGAATGCTGCGCGTAACTATTTTGCTCAGGCCCAGCTTTTGCCAACGCTTCAGCTTCGAGCTCCTCCAAATGTCGCAGCTCATAGCAAAAGTATTCGTCATCTGTGTCAATGCTATCCTCGGTGCTCTGGCGACGTGACGAGGACAACGTGCGCCCGGAATGTTGACTACGATTGTCATCGTCCTCCCTCAATGAGACATAGTTGAGACTGTTAGGTATGTCTAACGACTGCACATGATGATGCTGATGCTGTTGTAGATCTTGATGATTATGTTCAGTTAACTGTGGTTCGCTAATATCCGACGACGTCATTGCCACCATGAGTGAGGGAACATTAAATATTTTAGGCTCATACGCTGCTTGCGAGCAATCATTGATGTCCTCCGAAGCATCAACTATAGAAACATCTAAGGGAGAAGTTGAAGCAATATCTATGGTAGACGCTGCGCTGACATCAGCCGAAGTTAAGGCAATAGCTGATATAGCTGAAGCAGCATCAACTCCATCGTAATCTCTTGAGCTAATTAATGGTTGAGCAGTGACATTTACCTTCTTCTCCGGCAGGACTTCTTCTTGCTGTCGCTCGAAGCTTTCCAAGCTCTGCCACTTCTGGTCATCGACCGCAATAAGAGCATTTCTTTTTAAGTCTCCAACAACAGCAAACAGATTAATTTCCTGATTAGCACGAGCATCCACATTGCTATTCTCAATATAAGAATCACTCGCAGTAGGAATCGAACTATGCCAATCGTGCTGATGTTCCTCATCATCATCATCGTCATCTTCATCATCATCGTCATCATCATCACCATTATTATAATCATAATCATTGTCTTTGTGTCTTGTGGTGTCAATTTCATTAGTCGACTCCTCCTCGGAAGGTGTAAAAATTGTGTTTTCTAATTCGGTATCTGAAATGCTAGATCCGTGGCGCAGGTTGAAGCTGTGCCGTTTATATGATTTTGCCTTCTGCATTATCCTATTCATTTTGTTAGAGAATGAACGTTGTTTCTTTTGCTTAGAAGCTAAAACGGCACTAGAATCAGTTGCTCGTCGCATTATACGCATTGGTAATTTTTGAATACGCTTTGTTAGGTCCTCACGTTGACTTCCAATTGGATCAATTGTTGCACTCAAGGTGCCAGTGACAGAAGCAGTCCCTTTGGCAAACGGATACGAACCAGCCTGGCCACGAACCGGCATTTGTGAGTTTCGCTGACCAATACCGGCGTCGCCACCAGGCAGCGACTGAGAGCGTTTATATCTCGTATATCGCTTCAGTTTCAGATTGTCCGGCAACAGATTGGACAACTTATTCCAAACTTTAGGAGGCTTCGATTCGATGGTTTTGCCATACGATTTGTATGATCGAGCCGAATAAAGCTGTTGAGAGTCCGCCGACTTCTTTGAGCTTGACGGCTCATGCTGACTGATGTGCAATGATGACACCGACGATGATGACTGATGATGATTATTCGACTGATGACAAAGTCCCAAATAATCCAGATTATTGCTGCTGTTATAGTCAGAAATTCCATTGAACGTGGGATAATAAACGAGACGATCCGTTAGAGCGTGGCTTTGGGGTGTTTGATCAATATCCGTTTCCATATAGCCATTTGTTGAGATTATCGATCTTTTCAGGTCCTGCGACAATTCGTTTTCCAAAATATCAGGCATTATGAAGGGCTTTGTGCTTGTTGCACTGACATTCATATTGTTGTCATCCGAAAATAGTTTAGTTGTTTTTTTGTTCGACTGAATCTTCCGTTGATCCCATTTGAGCATTTCATCAATTGTTGAAATTGGTTCATTAGAACGCTGATTCGCATTCGACTCGGAAAACATTGATTTATTTTCATATGCTGAGCAAATTGGTATATTTTTGGATAGCTCATGTATATAGTTGAGGTTCTCCTCGCTAAATACATAATCGCTATCCAATTTTGGCTGCTGATACATATTAATATCGATATTTGAGTCCGCATTAATATTATTAACTTTATTCAACTTATTTAACTTGAGGCCGGCACTCGTCTGTAGCTCTATCATCATCTGTATCATTTCCACAGTTATATCATTGCATTTGCCAAAACTGGTATTCTCATTCGAATTTGATGAGCAGCCACTCATAGACGATAGCACAGAGTCAGATTTACCTCGTAGTTGTGGCTGTTGTTGCAGCGGCTGCTGCTGTGGCTTAAGCAGCTGTTGGGCAAATATATTAGCACCAGGTATGTCCAATAAATTGTCGAATACATTATCATTGGGCGCTGGCGGTGGAGGACTTGAGCCGCTTATTCCCAACAATATATCGTCCAAGTCGGTGATAGCGGCTTCTTTGTGCTTATCGGGATTTTGTAAATGTAAAAGGAACAGCATACTATTATGTCTTTCAAGACTTTTTTTTAACGACCTTATATACTCATCTTGATTGTAAATATTTGTTAAAGGCTGTTCAGCAAAACTGAAACTCTTCTGCTGCTGATCATTTGGACTTGGGCTCGACAATAAGGGTTCTCGGCTCTTGACCGCTTCCAGTTCGAACTCACGATTTTTTGTAATTTTATCAATATTTTGTTTACGATTTATTTCGATTTCCTGGGTCTCTAATAACTTCAATTGTTCATCCAAATCAGAATTATTACGTAACAAATGGGCGCTATAATCATTCGAAGAAGTTGCGGTCTGTGAGTCGGAGCCAACTTGAATTATGTTTGAAATCACATTTGAATTAGAATTTGAAAATGATTCTGAATTGTATTTGGAATGGGCAACGGATTTGGCATTTAATTGTGTGTTTTTCTTTATTTTATATTGCTCAAACGAATTTCCAACTAGTTTCTTTAAGGTATCGATATTTTTCTCGAATTTTTTCATTACCAGCTCAAATTTTTGATCAACTTCAATAACCCGCAAACGTCTCAGCTCTTCAGCCATCGTGACAGGATTTAAGAGAAGTAACGTTAGATGCTTGTCCACTTGATTCAGTTTCTCAAAGAAAGTTTGCTCAGCTCTGATTGTCTGCCGTAGCTTAAGTATTTGGGATCCCGATAATGATTGTAGATCGCTTATTTTATTTATTTCCCTTATTATAACATCAGTCATGGCATCTAGTACAGCAATATTTTCTTCACGCGCATCTTCCGGTGATGAGAAAATTGTCGTGCCTCCAAAGTTTCCATCCGATGACAAATCCAACTGAGTGTTATTTGAATTTGAATCAGGTGTCTTATCCGTATTGGATGCTTGGGCAAGAATATGTTTCAAATTGTTTATCATATCCATTTCGTTCTTGTGATGTTTCTTTTTTCGATGTTTTCGCAATTCCTTACCTTTAAATGCCGTTGTCTCCGTTGTTTCTTTGCTAAAATTCGTAGTAGTCTCGGCTAGCATAAGCGGAACGGGTAATTGTTCATTAGTCAATGAGTCGTGAGCTATTTCGGACTGCTGTAGCAATCGTTCCACATTACTTATTTCAGTAGTCATATCGTTGTCGCGATATGCTTCGTTTAAATTCTTGTAGAAGTTTTCATTTATCTCACAATCGTTTGTCGTACCTCCAGGGTCTTCTATCGGTACTATCTCGTTCCCACCCTGGCCGGATTTAACGGCTGTTAAACGAAAAAAATTCACCTCATCAGCGAGCTGGTCGAGTTCAGAAGACGTATTAGCTAACAATTCCTGAGATGATCTCTTAGGACTTTGTATATTACGCAAACTACAGTCAATGGTTGCCGACGCTGATGTTGATGCCGATGCAGCTACTTCTTCCAGCACTCTTTGGCCGTTCAGAAATTCCTGCAATAATTCGGCTCTGGCATTGTTGGCCATTATCTGTTGCTGTTCGTACATCAGCAGATCCGATTCGGAGTAAAGTTTTGCTCGGGATCGAGCTCGAGCGGCACTCTGATTCACATCAGCTGCATTTACTAGCCAATCGCATTCATCCAGCTGTAGCTGCTTTTGCTGCTGTTGCTGCTGATCCTTCAGTAGGTGGTCTGTTTTATTAACTTGCAGATAGTGGTTTTCACTGTTATTATCCATATCTAAGGCATAGGCACCGGCTTCGTCTAAATATAGATCATCATGATTCACTTTGAATCCCTCCAGGATATGACGAAACTTGGATTTTTCTGCCTTCGATTCATTCAATATAACCATATTTTCATCCAATTCCAATTCCATGGGCAACAGTTGACTTCCTGCTATAAATTCTGCAAACGGAATTTGGGAATTTGGCAGCTGCAGTTCTTCTTGCTGCTTCGTTTGAATGAGACCCATTAGATTTCCAACTACAGATTGCTGTTCTGCAGAGATGTTTTCCAATTTCTCCAATCTGGTCCAAATTTTGCCATACTCGTTTGACAGCAAATCAAGAGCCCGCCATGCAAATTTCAGCTCTGTTTCTAGCAAACTAATTCGTGTTGCAATCTTATCCATATAGTCTGAGATAATATAATCCGAATGCTGTTGCGAATTGTAGAGCTGACATAGTTGTTGCTCGCTTCTGATCGATGCCATGCTGCCATTATTTAGATTCAATCTGGACATGGACATGGACAGATTGTCGCTAAACAAACTCAATTGTGAATGCTGCTGGGACGGCTGGGGCTGCTGATGTTGGTGTTGCCGATGGTTCTGCAGCTCTTTGACCTTAGCTGCATCCAGTTGTTGCTGCTGCTCGGGCTGCTGGGTCTGCTGGGTCTGCTGATGAAGGTGTTGTCGATGGTTTTGAAGCTCTTTAACCTTAGCTGCATCCAGTTCTTGCTGTTTCAATTGTTGCTTGATTTTAAATTGACTGTGCAATGCATTTGCAGCCACGCTGTAAGGTTCCGCTTTGGCCTCGACTCCTTCAATTACAGATATATTAATGGCTTTGGTGGCTGGCACCGCGAATGATGACTGCAACAGCAAGTCGGCTTCTGCAACTGATGAAGGCTTAAATGGCATCGGTGTATTTGTTGCTGTTGTTGATGACATCCCGACTAAATAATATATAAATTCAAAAAATATATGCATTTGTACGGCGGAAATATATTGTGTGATTACATACTTTCGCCCAATTTCACGTTTTCACGACTGCTGATTTTAGGACTATGACATAAAATTATATAGGTATTATAGCAGATGTCTCAGCCTTGTGACTTATCGCAGAGGAAAGGTGTATTTAAGAAGTTAGTTAAATATTCAGATTCCACGGTAACTTTGTGGATAGTAACATTCGAGAAAATTACATATTGTATGAGTAAGACATAAGATAATATATTAGTCTGTACAAAAACTTCAACACACTTTGAGCGCTAAAGAAGGCGGTTTAGCATTTTCAATATGAAATTTTATTATAATGGTTATAAAGAAAAAAAAACAGATCTTGAAGGATATATCAAACACGCTAGAGCTGTGCGGTACATTGATGTCAATTATATATATATATATATATAGATATATAGATATGTGTGTAATATATATATGCATGTATTGAAATGTATATTATATTAAAATCTGCACACTCAAAATGCAACAATGAAAGAAACACAGTGCCGTCATGTGACACAATTATATCATTTTATGTATTCCCCTACATTAGTATGTATAACAACATATAGGGTTTACGTATTTTGGTTTCGTTTGTTTTTCATTGTACTCGAAGTTAGATGTTGATTTTGTTTTTGTTGAAATTGAATATACTAAACAGCTGTGATTACTGCCACATTAGTTTTTGCGATCTAAAGGCTACTTTATATGTATTTGAAAATGTTTATTTATATTTTAACCAAATCTTCACTTATTAACAAAGGCCTGCCACTGAATTGGTCTGAATAGGAAAACGCTGAAAAGTATACTACATCTTATTAAACTCTGCTTCTTAACGGCACCTACACAACTCTCGCACGAGCTCTCTCGAGCTTGTGAGTATCCGTGTGCATGTGTTTCTATGCGAGAGTGTGTTTACTCCCACAGAACTTGTAGATAATGGTACACAGGAACAGCTACTACGGGAGTGCATAAAATTCATCTGTATTGAAATGGAATACACACACAAAAAGAGAAAAAAACAAATAGGGAGATGGCAAGAGAGCGTGTGAGAATAAACAGATGAGCCGCACTTGGAAGTCGGGTGATGTTCGGGTCGGTTTACTGCGCATGCGATTTACAGAACAGCTTGCAATAGTTGTAAAAGGGAGTTTCTGGGTGAAGCTTTCCTAAGCTTTTCTGAGTCCAGCACAGATAGAGAGAAATAGAAAGACCTTTATGTGCAGCTTAATAGTGGTTGCTCACTCATACATGCTCGGTGTTTTAGCTTTGGTCAACCACATAAGCTGCTTACAGATCCGACTTGGATATAGCTTTAAAAAATGCAAGAGTTCCTTAGTGTCCGACTAAAAGTAATTCGTAGTAGTAATTGGAAACCAGAAGTATCAATTCTAAATAAATATGGGGAATAGAATGTTTCGTAGTCTGTAGATTGATTAGAAAAAGTACAGTTGCACGCATCGCTATGAAATGCAGCAGTTTTGGTATTCAAGTTATGCTTACCCACCTTAATCAAAAAAACTAATATTAAGTACGATGACCGAGAATACATACATAATTTTGCAGAACTGAAAACCTAAGGCACTACTGTAGATTTACATTTTAAATAACTTGTTTAAAATATAATAAATAATTTGACCTAACTATAAGTTCAATTAGAAGTATATAAGTATAATTATAATCGAAAAAAAAATTGAAGAACTTGGTTTGGAAACCTAAATTAAGACCGGAAAATGAAATCGTATATAGAGAATAATTTATACAATTAATTCATCAGAACGTATTGAATAATTTCGATCGAATTCCGAATCGGAAGGAGAAGCTTGTAAAGGACATACACGAACAAGAGCTACTCACGTAAGAAACGACACGTTGATACTTTAGAAGGCAGCTAAACTTTCGCGTTCGCTCTGCCACAGTAGGTGAAGTTTTTAGAGCTTGATAGCCGCAAGACGATTCGTCTTGAGCCTTAAAACTATTAACATGGAGAGAACTTGGCCACATGCGGTGACTAAACAAGCCGTACATCAAGTTCATGATGTGGACCTTCAATACGTGCTGCACGGGACTGCGTAGCATGTAAGCACAAATTAACTGTTGAACTCGTAAATGCCTAAAAATATAACTGTATTGTTATGTAGCCATACGTGTATGTGTGAGTGTGGGTGCCTAAATGCGGGAACAGTTTGAAATAAAACCTAGCTAGCTAATCAAACAGTGTAATGTGTACATATGTATGTGTGTACGCATATATATATACATACATACATATATATACATTAAGGCATAAATACATACATTAACACGCATGGAAACAAGAAACAGCTGTTTATGTGTACATATTCACAATCCGACATACATATGTACAAGGCAACACTGTATTGCCATCACTATTAAGAGACTCATTAGGTTGCGCAAAGAGTAGCTCTATTACTTTGAATGCTAGCTAACAATTTTGTGTGTGACGTCAGAGTTTGCAGTTGTACTCTGTTATCCCAGCTAAAGCTTGGCGGGCACTGAACCAGATATCGGCCAAGTGCTCCAAAACAACCAAAATGAAATATACTTTAGTAATTTTCAATAGTAATAGTGGTATTTTCCGATATGCCAGAAATAATATTAGTTGAAGAACTATAAAACTGAATTGAAATGTAGACTCCCGTTGACCACCCAAAATAAAAACAAATAAGAGGGCTCCAGAAGAGACTGCTCTACTAGGAGATACCCTGAACCCTCGAAGCTGATATTCTAATCATTCTGTACTTCTTTTATGCACACATACATACACATGCTTCCACACGTACGTATAAGCACGCGCTCTGCTAACTGCGTAGTAAGCAGCGACTGCGCTTGGGCTGCGCTGCAGTGTGGGCAATATTATGCGAATTTATTAGTTGAATAATTTCTCTTGTAGAAATGCAATCTTAATGAAACTTTTAGAACGTAATCATAATGTTTAAATGTATATACATTCCAAAGCACAAGTCTCTAGTACTTGAAATACAAATTAAAGCAAAGGGGGCGTGGTGTCCAAAATCTGTAAGCTACAAAATGTTTGTATTCATTATGTTTATGTACACAAATAATCTGTAACTGCAAGTAATTTTAGTAATTAATTTTCCGACACTGCAGCGACGCTCAAGCGCAGTCGCTGCCAGCTGGACAGTTAGTAGATGCATGCTTATGTATGTGTGCATGTGTTCAGAATGATTGGAATATCTGTTTATTGCGGGGTTCTCCACTGGTTTTAAGATAACAGTGTCAAAGTAGCTTAATTTCCATACAAATTTAAACGTACATGAACCATTTTCTTAAATAATGACGACACACTGCTAATGCAACGGACCGCTTTTCACAACCTACTATCACTCAATCGTGTATTGCTATACAAACACACGTTTTGACACATATGTATATATATACATATATAAATATCTCATATCAGCTAATTAGCGAGTATGTAAATGCCATGATAGGAAATCAAGGCTGTGCGGGCAAGCCGTCAAGCTTATGTCGTATTTAACTCTATATACCTTTTTATGCCCATTAAAAATGGCAAATCAGAGTATGATGACTTTAAATTAAAATGTATGAACAAGGCAGACGGACGCGTAACAAATCCCATACAGTACATACATATATGTATGTATATTCTTGATGACGAGCTGAGTTGATCCAGTAGGGAATATACATGTCTTCTTTATTTAAAATGTTTGAGATATTAATATTAAACGATTACGTCTTTGGAGCAGACTTTCAGATTTGTTTTTTCAATAAAGCGGTTCTCTAGAACTCCCTTGACATGTAGATCTATTCCTTTCTAAAGACCAGACTTTTAAGCTTGATTGGGCTTGAAAAACGATACGTAAAATCAATTTTAGCGTGTACATTTTCAATAGCCTAGGCTATATCGACTCAACTGCTCATCCTGATATAAAACTTCTGCCAGTTACATACATTTTACATACAAATACAAAGTATATATAAATACAGTGGAATCCGGTTATAGCGACGCTGAAGGGACCGGAGGAGGCTTTAACAAGAAGGAGAAAAAAAAAAAAAAATTTTTTTTTTACGGTTGTCATGTTTATATAGGTTTTAGCATAAAACAATGTAATTTATTATTTAAAAAAAAATAAATAAATAAAAAAAAAAATAATAATTATAAATTAATTTCAATAACGTGGTATAGAAACATTTTCGTGATGTCGGCATTGCAGTTTGGCTCTATCTACCTGTCTGAGGATCATTTCTCTCATTGCTACGCACTCATGCAAGGGCGCTAATCACTGATATATACATTTCTAACAGTGTCTTTTTATGCTTTTTTTAATTGCCGGCAAATGACTGCAAAATATGGAAAAAATAATCGTTGGGATAACCGGATTGTCGTTAAATGCGGAGACGTACTAAGCGGAGGCTCTTTCATATAAGTTTTTATGGGGACCAAGCAAGACATCGAATAACCGGTTGAGCGCTTTAAGCGGAGTCGTTATAACGGGATTCCACTGTGTATCTGCAATACTCAATCTTTACATGTATACTATAGTTTAGGAGTTAGCTGAGACTTTCGTCTCAGAATAGGACCCGCAAACAATTATAATATGTATTATAACTAATATTATAAAAGAAACTTAGGTACTCACATTAAGCTGTAGAATAATCTTGTTATAAGCCCAATGCCATCTTTGCTTGGCTGTAATTTCCGGTTTGCGAATGATTTGCATATGACCGCTGACAACTTCCTCTGTTTCGCCACGCAAGAGGACTTTCTTTTTCTTTTGCGACTTGCTTCTAGTTGGCAACAAATCGGTCAGTTTATCCTCATCATCCACACTAAGATTATCATGATCATGGTCAGCTAGCTCTCGTTCGGGTGATCTATGCGAGGAGAAACTAAGATCACCCTTCAAGTCAATCGGACTGGATTCCTCCTCTTCGATAATAATACTATCCTGTTTCTTGATTTGCTGATGCTGATGCTCCAACTGGTCAATTGAGACACTGACAGAAGCTATATTGATACCGCTCAAATGTTGTCTACGATTTTCGGTAATACCAACGCTACCACTAGAGCTTTCATCTAGATAATTGCCACAGTCTTCATCACTTGGATACGTATCGGGTAGGTAGTCATCGTTTTGTCCATCGTCCACGTAATCTATTGAGTCTTGCTTATGGCTAAGCAGCATTTTATGAGAATTCTGATATGGATGATTATATTGTTGATCTTGTTGATGCTTCTGCTGTTGACTCTGTTGCTCAATATACTTATATTCATCCTCTTCATTAAAAAAATCCTCTCGATAATCATAACCTGAGCCAACGTGCTCATAATAATCGTTAGCAACTCTATTTGACGGTGTCGCCTGCTGGTGATCCATGTAGTAATCATTCTGCTCACTATCGATGCAATAACTCGGATTATCAGTGTGTCCAATCAAATTGTCAATGAGATCATCGTCCGATTCATTAATTTCGTCATCATCTAAAATCTCAGTTGGCTGTTGCTTTATCAACATCAGCCCCGATTTACCATTGATGGTGGGCAGTTTTTTGCCGCTGGATCCTGCGGACGGCACCGTGGGTAAAACTTTCACTTTTCCTACCATGTCATCGCCTGTACTCTGATTCTGATTATGACTCTGATTGCTGGAATAGTATATAGAATATGCCTTATTATCATCATGGATTGGCAAATGTGCATTGCTATTTTCGTAATCATCGTCAGCTGTTGAGTAGGTCGAGTCGTGGCTAAGATGTAGTTCATTATAATTATCATTGTCCATTGCTGCATGTTCAATATTGGATACATATGACATATTTGTAGCTGGGATTTGATTGGAAGACGACGTTGTAATTATATCTGGTGAAACTATAGATTTATTCCGTTCAACAACAGATACTGAGGGGATCTGCTGTACCGATGCCTTTTGCACCACAGCCGATGCAACAGAGGAAGCACCCTGATTGACAGCTTGTGTCGCGGATTGCACAGCTGCTGCAGCTTTACCAAAAATAGAACCGAACATGCCACCTGAAGCGCCTTTTGCGTTCTGTTTAATTGACGTTACTGAAGGCTTTACTATTTGGGGTTTAATTGGTGTTTCGATTTCCATACCAGTTTCACTTGAACCCAATTCATGGCTCATCGTTACTTTATATGGATCTGAGCTACTTTGAGTATTTTCTGCGTATGCTGATGGATATTCACTGTAACTATAGTCATGAGATGAATCGTCATTTCCGAGATAGTCAAAATCTAAATTTGACTTAGAGCTGAGATAGTCAAAGGTAGGCGTGATGGGTGCGCTGGCGTCCGTGTTTGTATTCCTATTTATATTATCTGGTAATTGAGCGCAGTGCATGACATAATTATATCCATAAGGTGTATTAGAGACTGCAGAGGTGCAGGTTGTCGTAGGTGTTGGGTCTTGTCTCACAAGTAAGCTCCCCACATTTGGCACCAATTTAGAGGCCAGTCCAAAGCCAAAACCCTTTTTACTATTGCTTTCTGGATTCTGTTTAGTTGGTTCTATTGTTGAACTAACACCGATCAGCACGCCATCCAAGCCACCTTTAATACCTTTTGATAGGCCACCTAGTACACTGGAGACCTTGGCTTTTGGTGATGTTTCTGGCGGTTCATCTGTTTGTTTGTGCGCTGGCTTATAATATCCGCTGCAAGGCTCAGTAAGTTCGCTTGTATTATTATTTTCTCCTATGTTTATGTAGGTATTAGATGTCGTTAGATCGCATTTAGCGCCATTGCTATTTTGCTTTAGAGCTGACGTTAATGATGTGGCGCTTTCAATGTGAGCTATTGTTGCCGTCAATGCCGATAGATCTACATTAAAACTATCATAAAAACTATCGTCAAAAGCTGATACGTTGCTTACTAATGGCTCCTCAATATGACTTAATAAGGGCTCAGCACCAATTAAAGTTTCCCTCGTCTCTCCTTCAACTAGTTTTTCCGTTTGGGACTCATGCTGCTGTGAATAGGAGCTAATTGTATCCGCCGTGGAGCTGAGCTCAGAATTTATTAGATTTATATCAGCTAAAGATGTGTTTACCGAATGGCTAGCTATACCAGGCAGCCATCTAGAAGCCCCAATTTGATTTTCGTTAGCCTTATAGCTGTCTATGCCTGATTCCAATGGCTGTGTCTCTGCTGTGGTTATAACTGTAGCTTGATTCTGAACAGTAAAATCGACGAGATTTGACGTCGTGTCTGCCAGTACAGGCTGTGCTTGAGTAATTGTTACACTGTATATATCAGGAATTGGTGACAGTTCTGGTAGTTCCGGTAGTTCAAACTTTTTCATATAATCAACGTAGGTTAAAGTAGGCGAATCGACAATATTACTTTGTGAACTAGTGCTAGTAATACCAACCGCCGATAGACTAGACGGAACAACAGTTGTTGTGAGCACGTTACTCAAGTGGCTTAGAGTTGTAACTGTATCGTGAGAATGTTTTAAATCTGTTTTCTTACTATCATCCCTTTCCTGATCGATGCTTGCAATGGGCTTACTTAATAAATAGGATACGTTAGATGAAGATTCACTTAATGGCGTTTCAATGTTTATGAGACTGCTAGTTGTCCAAGTTGCAATTGGATTTGAATTAAGATTTTGATTGACACTTGGTATTGGAGTTTCCAATGAGTTCAACGGAATTGAATTTTTTCGAGCATCATATGCAGTCCTAGTACTAGTGGAAGTCATGATCTCACTGTCCTTTGCATTTCCGATTTTTTTGTCTGGTGTAAATATAAGGGAGTCGAATGGGTAAGGTTTCAAATACTCAGATATGTAAAATGATGATTTCTTAGCTTCGTTTAAGCTTGTTGTTGCTGTGGTTGTGAGAATCAAATTTTGATGGTTTTTTGTTTGTATTGACAAAGACTGCTCTAAAGATGATTCAATTGATGATTTTATTTGAGATGAGGCGTTTACATTACCCTCGACCAGACTAGTAACGTTGTTTTGATGCAATACAGGCGAATCAGGTAATGTTGAAGTTACTGGTGACCATATGCTAAATGAATCAAGCGATTTAGACACAACTCTCTGATATCTCTGGTCATTGAATTGATTGTCGCCGTGATTCTTATCAACTGACGCTTCATCCACTTGCATCTTCTCTTGTCCCTGCTCCTGAGCCAATGGTTCTTGCTGCTGCTGTACAAAACTATTGGCATTTTCAATATTGTCCATAGGTTTCAATGGCGCGCTAGTTAACATCGAAGTCAATTTTTCTGGCGATGAACTAACAACAGTTGCTAAATCTCGAATAGGAACTGTGCTGGGAATAGCTTTTGTTTTAAGCGTGGGCAACTTTGGTAACTGTTTTGTTCGATGAATTGGAGTTTCTAATGAATTGTATGTAAGGACTTCGGGAATTATTGATGACGATGATTTGTTCAGTACCGCAGGTGACGGTAGACGTTTTGGCAATTTTCTAGTTGATGTCGTCGTCATCATCGTCGTCGTCATATTCGTCGTCATAGTCGTCGTCATCGTCGATGTCAACGTCGTAGTATTTGACCATCGCGCTGAAGCTAACGTAGTGGTATTGGAAAAGGCAACTGAGGAGTTTGTTGTGCTAGTCGAGGTTGATACAGTGCTACTAATACTCCGATTGTATATTGAATAGCTATTATTATCACTGCGTCTAGTCGTGTTATAGTACTGTTGCTGTTGCTGCTGTACAGGTATCCTAGTCTCTCCAGATGCTATCACAGATGCTGTTGTCATTGCCAACATAAGTGAAATTTTGCGCTGTTGCTGTAGCTTCAACTGTGTGGTATTGCTCATGGGAGGTGTATCGCTATATGCTGACAAATTGTCCGAGTTGTAAGCATAATCCGAATATTCACCATAATCGAGGGGCAGCATTGATGTATAGGGTCGCGATATTTGGCTAAAGACATCATAGTTTTGCCTGGTCCCGGTTGTTGCTGTTGTTGTTATTGTTGTATTTGTTGTTAATATACCGCTTAAGCTGTTGTTATCTTCAAGTAATCGTTGTGAGGTATTGTTGCGTATTCTTGGATGTGGTTCGGGTAACATTCGCATTGGCGCTGCCGCTGGCAAACTGATAAAACTTCCTATTCTCTCGTCAGCATAAACCGTATGTTCGTTGAGAACATTTTGGGTATAGGTAATCGGTTGCGATAGCATACGATATTTGGAATTATCGATAACAGGTGCAAGCGGCAAGCGGCAGCCAACGCGATTGCCCTTTTTCGAGTACGTACCTTCAATTGGCATTGAGGAACCATCGTTTAGAGGACCACTCGTTAAATTGTAGCCATTGTTGTAGCCAGAACCCTCCATACCTCTAAAACTATTTCTCCAATACTCCGCTCCGACTGTTGCTATATTCGGGTTATTATCTTCAGTTATTATTGTTGCTGTTGTTGTATACGGCGCATAGTTCTGATTAAAGCTACCAAAAGCTTCCCCATCGGCTGAGTACTCCTCCTCCGCAGCCCCATATTCATCGTCATAAGTAGCATATGCACCTGATTGCACCTCATCATAATTATAGTTGGTGCTATTATTAATTTGTTGGCTGTCAGCACTGGATAAGGCATCGTTTTTATTATTATGATAGCATGCTTCATCCCATGCATAATGCTGTAAAGAAGGATATATAAATATATATATTCAGTATATAGGTGAGTTGTATTTGATGCGAATTGCTTACCGTCATGTTTTATGTTGTAGGTATAACCTTATTGAAACACTAAGGCCTAGACAAATATTTGCTCTGCTCTCATTGAAGAATTTCAGTTTTGCATTCGTACACTTGTTTTTTAATTTGAATTCAAGAAGAGCATATGGCATTTTATTGCCTACTCGACATCAAAAAACTTTCTGCAATTTATTTAATTATTCAAAACGTCAGTATTATATAGGTTTTTAAAAATTTGTTTCCTATATATGAACTATCACTAATACAATTGATGATTCCCCTATTAATTTGAACACAGGAGATACAAAATATATCATATAATCCGAATTCCACTCGATTTTTTTCTCAGATGATAATGTAATAATGTGATGAAATAAAAGTGTCTATTATTAACACTGTTTATTAATATATACTTAGAAAACTACGGATTAAAAATATATAATTATAAATCAAAGAATACACTATTATCTAAAGGTTAACCACGCCAAATGGAAATATCCCACATATTAACTGTTTTTTAAGATGAAATTGTTGAATTTATTTAAGTTGAGCTCCTGAGATAAACCAGAGATAGATAGAGATAGATAAAATCAAAACTTGTGGTTAAATATAACGGGCTTTGGACCTTACAACTAACTGGCATTAAAGTAAATTTTGTTTGTCATATAAAAAGAAAAAAAAAAAAACAAAAAC